CCCCCCCCCCCCCCCCGCCACCGAGCCGCAGCTGTCCGTCTGTCCACCTAGCTAATCCTCCCTAGACCTACACCTGGAAGGGGGTATCAGCCCCCGCTGACTCTTGGGCTTAACCCCCCCTCTCCCGGCCTCAGTTTCTCCAGATGCCAATTGAGGGGGATGGACTAAAATTCCCTCTAAGGTCCCTTCCCGCTTAAAATCCCCTGATCCGCCCGGGGCTGAGCTGTTCCTTCTCGGACGGGGTCAGGGCTCCCACAGGTACCTCCTCCTACGCCAAGCCAGACAGCAATAGAGGCCACCGGGGGTCCTCGCGAGCAGGCTCTCTTTTTTGCGAGGACCAGAGAAAATAAAGATCACGAGAGCAACTTCCCAACCGACTCGGGTTGGACCCAGGAGGAGCGGCCGGGAGCAAAGCAGAGTTAGGGGACATCCAAGGTCAGAGAACAGAGACCCCATCTCTGCAGAGGGAACCTGAAGCAGTGGCCACCTGCCCCCAAATACTCCTCCATCTGGTCCTGGGCTAGGGAAGCCCGGGTCCCAAGGCTGAGAAGAGAGACGTCTAAGCCGTATCCTCCCCTACCCCTCCAGGCCAGTCTGTCTCCTTCCACATTACTCTAGGGTCCACCCGGCCCAGAGCCTCTACTTCAGTTCTCTGCCTCCCTGCTAAGATGCAAGACAGCACAGGGAGTGGGAGTCGGGGTGACCCCTGCGAATGGGGCTGAGACAGACCCAGAAAGCATTTCCCTGATTCCTCCCAAAGCAATGCCTCCTTCCCCATCCCCCCCACCCTAACCCCTCCCACACACACTAACCCAGCTCTGGCCAGCCTGGAGCTGTAAGGGTGGGAGCGTGAACTGGATGAATGCTATCTCTCTAGCGCTATCTTCACAGAGGAAGGAGGCCTCACCCTCCACACTTTCTCCAAGCTGCACCTGACCCTGTTTCTTTTCCCAGCCTCCAAGCACCCCTGCCCTTCATCAACACTCCTCCCCTTCACAAGCAAATTCCTCTAATACATCTACATTCACTGCCCCCACGTCCTGCATAAGCCTTTGCAATCTGTTTTCAATCCTCACCACCCTTAAGAAACTGTTCCCTCCAAGGTCACCAGACTTTCTTATCAAAACCGCCAAATCCTATGCTCCTCATCTTCCAGGAATTCTCTGCTTTTTACTCTGCTGCCCCATCTTTCTGATCTTCCCTTCCTTACAACTCTCTCCTGGTTCTCCCTTACCTCTTTAAATCCTTTCCTAGTCAAAAATCTGGTTTCTAGTCTTGGTGCTGTTACTTACAAACTGTGTAATCATAGATAAAAATCACTTGCCCTTCCTGAGATGGTTTCCTGGGGATAAAATGGGTGTATTATTACTTGCACTGAGAGACATACAGATGTGAAGTCTCTAAGACCTGGCTTGAGTTCAAGTCTTGCCTCTGACATATACTGGCTGTTTCTATGTGCAAGTCACTTATTCTCTTTTCTCTCTTCCCCTCCACGGCTCACCCTATACCTCTCTATGACCATAAATTATCAGCAAGATGCATACCTGCATATGTGGAGGGGGGTTCCCTCTGCTCCAGACCCCTTAGCCCACCCCACCCCCATCCCTATCCATTGATGGATTACCTCACTAGGTCCTTTTATGGATCAACTAAGAAAATGCATGTAAAACACCATATAAATGTCAAATATGCTGGAAGTCCCAAAAGTTTTAGTGCAGCTTCATGCTCTAATAGCTTAAAACTGCACAAAGACTTTTGGAACAGTCTTATCACTTGCTTGTCAGCTCTTTGCCCAGGACTTCCATATTGCTATCTCCACTGACAGTGTCCACTTGGTGTGATATAGCTAGGAAGGGTCCTAAGCAATATTTGAACCTAAGTCTCTCTTGACTCTGAGTTCAGTGCAATTATTCCTACACCCTGATGCTCTCTGCCCATAATACCCCATGACTCCTCAAAGTCAACACATGCTAAAACCAGACCATTAGGGCTAGCTTGTCCTTCCCTTGTCTCCCTGAGCTCCTCCCTCTTGCCCGTCCACTCTTTCATCCTGGTCTCTTCTATTACGGTCTTCTCTGCCCCTGATGCTCATCTTAGCTCTGGCATTCCCCCACCCTCTTCCCCAACACTTCACACCTAGATTTTTGCAAATCTAACAGATTTGCTGCTGGTCACCTCTCCTCCCCCAAGGTCAGCCCAATCCCTCCTGCCTGGCACTTAAATCCTTCCATGATGTAAGCCTACCCTCCCTTTCCAGTTTCAGCCAGGTCCTTTCCTCATTGTTCGTGTACATCACTGCTGCCTTCCTACCCTGCTTGGGTCTTAGCCAGTCCAGAAATATCTCATCTCCTCCAAATCTTACTGAGGGCCCAGAATGCTCTGCCACCTCCCAGAAGCCACCTGGGTTGCTCCCCTGCATGTACCCCCACTACAGCCCTCAGCTCTGCCTCTGAGCCACTTAATCCTGCCAGTTTCTACACAATAGCCTCACCTACTGCTGGGCCTTATGATGTCATTGTCTCTCGTCTTAGGTTGGCTCTCTGGTGAGAAGCTAAACTCCTATACAGGGACTACGTCTGCCACAGTGGCTCACACAGAACTGGGCACAGCTCCTGAGTTAAATTGGGCCCACATTCCCTCTTCACAGCTCTCAGAAGGTCCCTGGTCTTAAAATCTTCAATTTAGAAGAGACGTTAGATGATGTCACCTACTGCAAACTTCTGCCTGCTACATGAATTCTGTCTAGAAAATCCCATACAGGTGATTGATTATCCAGCTTCAACCTGAAGATACCCAATGGTGGAGACCTCACTTTCCCAATTTAGATAGCTTCGGCTGTTGGGAAACTCCTGTTTGAAGTCAAAACCTGCTTCTCTACAATTTCCCCCACTGCTCTTAGTTCTGGTGCCTGGGACCAAACAAAATTTAAGCCCTCTTTCACGGGAGAGTAATTCAGATATTGGAAGACAACATCAGTCTTCCAAGCTCTGGTCTTACATCTGACCATTGGCATTCTCTATCTAGAAATCCTAATGGCGTGCCAAACTCAAAATTCAACTCACCTTTTCCCCCCAAAACCCATGAACAACTCCTCCCCTTGACTTCCCTACTTCTCTTGAAGGGATCAAAATGGCCCCAGTCATCCAGGCCTGAATCCTTCAAGTCATTTGTGATGGTTCCTCCTCCCTCACAGCCAATCTGTGGCCAATTCAATTTCTATAATCTCTTCAAAATGTCCCCTTCTCTTCACTGATACTGCTGACACTCCTCCAGCAGCTGATGCACCCATCTTCAGTCTCTCCCTTCTCCATTCCATCCTTCTTGGTTGGTTGTTCAGTCATTTTTCAGTCATGCCTGACTCTTCATGACCCCATTTGGGGTTTTCTTGGCAGAGATACTGGAGTAGTTTGCCATTTCCTTCTCTAGCTCATTTTACAGATGAGGAAACTGAGGCAAACAGGGCTAAGTGACTTGCCCAGGTCACACAGCTAGTGTCTGAGGCAGACTGGAATTCAGGAAGGTGAGTCTTCCTGACTCCAGGCCTGGTGCTCTATCCACTGCACCACCTGGCTAGGTCATTCCAACTTCAGACAGCTGCTAAAATTATCTTATCAATACACAGATCTGACCATGTCACTTTCTGCTCAAAAGACTCCTGCTTAAAGCATAAAATAAAACCTCCTTACTCTGGTACTCAAGGCTTCCATAATGGGTCTCCAACCACTTCCTAGGTTTATTTCATAACACAGCCCTTACAGTACTAGGTATTTCTGCCAAACTGAGGCATTATCTGTTTTCCAGTCTTGGCCTGTACTACCCTCCCTCCATGCCTCATTTGAGCAGGGCCTCCCCAATGCATGCAATGCCTTCCCTCACCATCTCCTCCATGAAGGACATCCTGATCACTCCAAGTGAAAGGGACCTCTTCCCTCCTCCAGTTTTCTTGTGCGTTTGTCTAGGTGCATCTCTTGCACTCACGTTTTCAAAGTCAACTTTATAGCATAATTCTTTACATACACCTCTCCTCCCTGCCTCACTCCCTAACCCAATTCGACTGTAACTGCCCTCAGGGCAGGAAACAAGCTGCTCCCTGTTTTTTCTTCATTTCCATTGGTCCTCCTCCTGGCTGCTTCCCTTGGGATGGGCTGGAGAAGCCTGGAGATCTGTGGAACTGGAGACAGAACTTCTGGGTTCAGCTCCTGGCTCTGACCCTTAGAAACCAAGTGACCAGGGCCAAGTTACCTAACAGGAGGCTCAGCTTCTTTACACATTCCCCAAGGGATCTGTGGTATCTCCTTTACTTAAAAAATGAAGACACTGACCTACCGGGATCATGAGGAAAGTGTGCTGTAAGAACAGCTCTCATTTCCAGAGCACTTTAAGGCCATGGTATCAAATTGTTTAGTGGGCACTCATCCCTACATAAGAATCTCTACAGGCACATACTGACTTACATTTTAAAATGTAACATTATCTAGGGGAATTTGTTTTCCTTTTCTTTTTTTTTTGCTAAATATTTCACAATTACATTTTAATAAGGTTCAGGACACACTTGGGAGTGTTGCCTGCAGGCCTGACCTTTGTTACTCTGCTTTAAGGTATACAAAGACCTTTCTTCAAAATAACCATATGAGGCAGGTAGTACCAGAATTATTATCCCTACTTTACAGAAGAGGAAACTGAGGCTCCGAGAGATGAAAAAACTTGCCCCAGGCCACTTGGAATGCTACAGAAATTGGGGTATCAAGTCCCCCTACATGAAGGTGTGAACAAAGGTAAGAAAGAAGAGGGGTGTGGATGGGGGGACGGAAGGGGCTGTTCCCTCTCTATCCCCTTCATGTCCTAATCCTGTGGTCCTCTCCCTCTCCATTCTTTCAAAGTGAGGAACCTTATGCTTTCAGTCTATTTGCTCCCCACAAATCAATGCTCTTTGTCAATACGAGTGCCTGGCTGAGCCTCCCTCCAGCCATGTCCTTGCTCTTCAAGGAATACAAAAAGGAGCCCGGCACAAGAACAACTCCAGGCTTGTGGGAGGGTAGGAGGAGGAATGTGCAGAATGGCTTCTCCTCACCACCACCACCCCTAAGCGCCCACAAGTGTGTGTAGCGAAGGTCAAGGGAGTACTGGGTATGTGTGTGCTGGTCACCTTGAATTCTGTCAGACGATGGTGGGAATGACAATCTTGGGGGGAGCTACGGCTTCTTAGTTTCCATGCGAGGCCGTATGGTGCAGGGAAAGGGTTCTCTGGCCCCAGCCTTGACCTTGGGCCAGCCCCTCCCCATCAGCTAAGCAGCAGCTTGCTCACTTTCCAAGGATCAGAGGCCTCTGGGGTTGCTCTTGGAGCAGAAAGGAAGCTTCCCAGCAGCTTCTCTGCAGACTCTCCCACCTCCCTGAGTGGGAGCCACCCCTGCCCGCCTACATCCCCCTCCGACTTCATCTCAGACACAGGGGCCTGGACACTGCTCCAGTCTCTTTAATCTGTGAAGTGATTGACCATCATCAGAAAGAAAGCCAAGGGGGCCAAGCAGGGCAGGCCTCCAGGGCTAAGCTGGAATTTGGGCAGGAGTCTCTGGGGTAAGGGTGATGAGGGAATTGCTGGCCTGTGCAAGCTCAGAGATGGACACACGTCCTCGTTGGCGGATGAACTGGGCCACGGCTGCCATTTCCTCCGGTGTGATATAGATGAACTTGCCACGGTCATCAATCACACCTGAAGAGACAAAGGTGTCACAAGTCACTCCACCACCAATGTCCTTTTAAGACCCTCCCTCCTCATTCCCACTCCCACCCACCAACGTTCCAGTGGCCTTCACTGATGGGTCCTGCCTGCCAGGCCTCTCCTCAAGTCCCCTGTACTTGTAGCTCTTCCTTTCCCTGTGACTTTGTGTGTGTGCATACATGCGTGCATGGATGTTTTGCAAACACGTATGCCTCTCCATACTTCTTGCCTTTCATGCTTGGCTGGGGACTCCCCCAGGACAGGGCCCTCTGTCTATGAACCTTCTCTCTTCCAAGAGCCTAGTAAGCAGTGTCCTGGACAGAATGGTGAGGCCACAAACTTGACAAAGGGGGGCTGAGTTCTGACTGTGAAGACAGGCTCCTGACACGGCCACATGGTCCCCTCCCCCTCCGCACCTGTCAGCGTGCCTTCGGCCAGCAGGTCCTGCACTCGGTTGATAGCGTCCTGTGGGGGAGGAGTCAGGAAAAGTCAACCCTCCCAATTAGGTAACCTTTATCCCCTCAGTTCCCTGAACATACTGCTTGCAAGTGGTGGAAGAATCATTTCACGTGTCTAACCCTCCCTCTTGGGACCCCCTCTGGGAAGAATGCTTCTCTTCGATTCCCCCTGCTCTGGTGTGTCTGGACCTCCCCATTTTATCCGAGGGGTGGGAGTGGTGGTGGCGGTGCTGCTTCCCAGGGACTGGAACAGTGGGAGGCTCTGGCAAGGGACTGCTACCACAGGGAGGAATGTTGTCAGGGTAACTGGATGGGCAGCTTTCACTGGGGGCTGTTTGGCTGCTTCTTTCTTGTCCCGCCTCCCTCAATTGGGTTACGTGGGTCTGAGGAGATGATCCAGACCAGGCCCTTGGTTTGGGAAGGACCAATTCTGGATCTTGGGCCAGTCTAAACCCACACCTGGCCCACTACCACCAGCTCTGTACTCTACCTGGGTTCGCAGGCCCACGTGAGATGCCAGGTCCTCCAAGAGCACAACTTTTGCCTGCTGTAGACACAGGATAGGACAAAGCCATGAATACCCCCAGCTCAAGGCACACAGCATGAGGTTATTCCTAGATATATTTTATACATAGACATGTGTATGTCTGTACACAATCACCTATGACCTGTACACAATCACCTATGACCTATGACCCTAGACCCTAGGAGTGGTGAGTGGGGGAAGGGTAGTCAGAGACACACAAATACATATGGACCCCGAGGCCCAGGCCCTGGGAACCCTTGCTCTTATCTGCTGCTGTTTTCTCTCTTTCTCTCTCTTACAGGGAGACTAACATAGGCAAAGGTCCTACCCTCAGAGAACTCCATTCTGAAACATCTAAACACATTCACATTGACAGCACTCATGCATTTATTCATTCAACCAGTACTTCTTAAATGTCAGAGGAAATACAAATTTTAGATAAGACACACAGCTGCTGCCTTCATAGTGTTTAGAGTGTGTGTACGTGTATATGATAAACACATATCCATTACAGAGTATTACATGATAAGTATATCAGGAAGGTACAAACCAAGTATTACATAAGGTAAGAGAGATTTCATGTAGAATCCTGGAACTATTCATTTTACTTGGTTTTTGTTAAGTTCAGATTAAAAAAATATTCTAATGTTATATGAAGTCTGAGGGGGAAGGCTGTTACTGACAGGAGGTCAAGGAAGGCTTCTTGGAGGAGGCTGAACTGGAGAAAAACTAGAACATAAACATAAGACCAAAATTCGGAGAGGAAAAAGGGGAGGGGGGTTATTTTTAAATGAGGGGAGAGAGAATGTTACCAAAGGCTATTTTATAATCTCTGGAAATTGGTAGACAGGGAAATATTGCCCTTGAGTCAGAAAACAAAAAGCAGGCTGGGTGGGAATGGCCCAGCAGGGGCCCCGTGCCTCAGGTTCTCTAGGACCACAGTCGGCTCCCTGAGGGCAAGGCTTGCGTCTCACTCGGGTCTCTCTGAAGCTGTGAGCTCGCAGGACATGATTGGGGACTCAATGAATGGCTCATTTCCCATTAAGCCCTTGCCACAGAGAAAGTGCCAATTGCTGGCTGGCTAAAGCGGTGCCAAAAGGGCAGAGGAGCCGGAGGGATTGGTTGCATGCAAGGAGAGGAGCTGGTCAGAGCCTTGTCTGAGGGTACCCTGAGCTCTCAGGGACTGCCCCACAAGGGGGAATGACTGTTCTCTGAGGATAATGCTTCAATGCTGCCCCATTAGGATGAAGACTAGATACAAGACAGCAACTACTGCCCCCCTTACCTATATCGGTACAAACTACAGCCATCCTAGTCCCAGTAAATAGTAAAAGTGAAGAAACCCTAGCTTTGGAGTCAGAGGATGTGGGTTTGAATTCTAGGTCTGCTCCTTGTAGCTGTGTAACCCTGTACATGTCCCTTCCCTTCCCTAGGCTGAGTTCCCTCATCCGTAAAATGGGGGGGGGGCCAGATCAGGAGATCGATAAAGTCCCAGGGAAGTCCTCCGAATCTCCGAGAGGCTTTGAGGAATGACTGAAATTGTGAACAGGCTACATGCATGAGGCCTGGGAGAAACCCCAGGAGAGCACACTCTAAAGGAAGCCCAGGGAGGTCGTGGGCCTTGGTGTATGTGTGGGGTGGGGGTGGGGAGTTTCATATGACTGTGGGCCATCAGAGCAGGGATGGGTGCCACCCTGGAGCTGGGATACATAGAAGAGGGGGCCTTTGCTCAGGACTGACCCTAAAGGCTTTTCTGCAGACACCTCATGGTGGGAAGCTTTTGGAGGCCCAAATTGAAGGAAGTTGGGGGATACACGGCAAGGCCGTGAGCTTGCCTCTGAGCAATCTAAGAAGGCTTCCTGGAGGCAGGGGGCATCAGGCTTTAGAAAATTATGGGAAAGAAGCCTTTTGCAGATGACAGACTTACAAAGGGGACTGACTGAATCTTGATGGACACTTCTTGTGGAGAGGAAGAGGAAAGGAGGAACTCTCAGAATGGCCTAACTTCTGGTGAGCCAATGACTCAGCCCATCAAAGCAGCTCCTACTGAAGTCATTCTAAGAAGGAGCGGTACTCCCAGCGGTGCCCATGCTTCCACACCAGAGCTTTACTGGGTGCTCAAAGACCCCCCCATCAGTGGTAAACTAATCCCTGCCTTTCCCCCTACTGTTTACACAACCTTTTGGGGGTCCCAGACCCCTTCTCAGAATCATGTTTTTAAATTCATAAAACAAAATACAAAGGACTGAATACCAAGGAAGCAAATTATATTGAAATACTGTTATCAAAATATTTAAAGAGACAAGATGAAGGTGAGAACCTGTAAGCCAGAGGATTACAGGACTTAAAACAGAAGGGGCCTTATAGGTCATACAGTACAACACCACGATTTTATGGATGGGCAAACTGAGGCTCAGAAAAGGGAAACTGTCCCCAGGCAGGACAGCAGCAGAGCCAGGACTAGAACCCAGGTCTCCTGCCTCCAGCCTGTGATTTTTCCACTGCAGCCCACTGCCTTGTGGGAGGCACTCCCCCTGGGCTGACGTCACTCTCGGGCCGTCCTTCAGACCCCTTCCTGAATCAAACCACCTGTCAGTCGTGTAGGAGCCAGGCTTGCTCACCACTCACTCAAGGCTTGATGGGCTTCCTTGACTGCCTGGGGCGTGGGCTGAGACTCCCAGGGGCTGCAAGCTGGTAGATTATGCAATGCCTGGTTCAGTGCCACCCCCTGCTCCCTCTGCATCACTCCCACAGTTCTTGCTGATCCTTCAACTTCCCCCACTTTAAAGCTGTACCTGAAAACTTCCCCTCTCCCTTCCGGGGGTGGGGTGAGGTGAGGAAGGTAGAGTGGGAGAAAGAAAGGGGTTCAGCAACAAAAAGGAGGCCATCCCTATACAATCTACACGAATGTTCCAGACACCACAAGCTGGTGCCCCAGAGGAAAGGGCCCAGGAGGCTCAGGGGACAGGTGGACAGCTCTCTAGTTCAACCCACATCCCAAACAGCAGCAATGCCATCCACTCTCCCCTCCTCCGCTTCCTCCTCAGACCAGGGACTCCCCGAGAACAAGGCTCTGGCCCTATCAGCCCAGGGGTATCCAAAGGCAAAGGCCATGTCTCCTCTCTCCTTTCCTATCTTCACCTGGAAGTACCTGGGGCAAGGGGTGCTCTGGGTCTGATGGAGAGGACAGAGAACACATATCAAATGACTTCAACCTACATACTCACGCAAAAGAATAGAATGTCAGCCTCAGGCGAAGGACCTGGAAAGCGGAGGAGCTTCTGAGAGACAGAGACAATTCTACACGTACATGTGCATGACCGTGCCCACGTGCCCATAGATGTCTCTGTATGTCCTAAGGCCTTCGCTACTCTGTGGGCATTTGTATGTACTGACATGCTGGGGAAGTGTGGGTGAGTAAAGTAGGCCTTCCCAGGTTTGCATGTTGGGACAGTCTGATCCCCTCAGGAGAAAACCTGAACAGAAAATCTCACGCGGCTTCTCCCCACACCCCACAGCCTGGTAGCATTCTGGGGAAAGGAGGGACGTACACACACACACTCACACAAGCAGAATGAAAGTCCCAGGCCAAGATCCCAACCCTTAACGCTTTTTACCTTAATGTAACTGATGAACTCAGTCAGGAAGCTCCGAGACTGTGGATAATAAAGGTGTAAGGGTTAGTGCAGGCTGGGCATAGGGCAAACGTCAGGGGGTCTGCCGAGGAGGCGCCATCCCACTTGGAGCTGTGCAAACAGCTCTGAAGAAGAAGGGGAGACGTGTCAGGGCTGGCTGCTGGAAGGGGCTAAGCCAGCAGAAACTCAGGTTCAGACTACTGAACACCACAATTTGGTGTCTGGGATTTGGGGAAAGTCATAATAAATACTGGCTCCCAGACCGCTAAAGGATCTCATCAGCCTGGAGCTGGAAGAGCCTTTGGACATCATTCTGCTCATACGCGATCCGTCCCCGAACAGGAATCCCCTGTCAGGCAGCCAGGACAAGTGGGGATCTGGCCTCAAATGCCAGGAGCTTGCTCTCTCAGAACACCAGGAAGAGACAGCTCTGAACTTAGGCAGGGTCGGCGCTGGGGCCGTGGGCTTTGTTCTTAAAGCTGGGACAACAGTCCCTGGCCCCCGACCAGGTTCACGCCTACCTGCCTACCTGGAGCACCCAGCAGAGGGACTAGGGAAGGCAGTACTAGGGAACTCCAGGCAGGTTAATCAGTGCCAGAGGCATAGCAGGAGAGTAATCTCTGGGAGGTCCTGTTCCCTCTTAAACAAGGAGCCTGGAGAAAGACTTCCCCTGCCCCCCTCTCTCCCATCTGTTGGCTTGCTTATATGGGCTGATGCAAATCCGGAGCCCTGCTCTGAAAGCAGAAAGGACAGGAGGTGGGGAGGAGGTGATGGGACAGAGGGGAGAGAATGTTGGCAGTTCTGTCCTCTGACGACAAGACCCTGTCATTTGAGGACAGGGCTTCTTTTACACCACTTCAAACAGGTAATCTGTGTCCTGACCCCTGAAGCTGTGCTTCGGGCCATCCCAGGCCTAGTGCAGCCACAGCCAGGGGGCAGGCCTCCAGGGCCCCCGGGGAGGGGATCCCCAATACCTGCTCCTCCGTCATGGTCTCCGCTTCGCCCTCCTCCTCCACTACAAAGGCCTCCTTCAGTTTCAGGTACTCCTCATGCTCACGCTGCTCCTGCTCTTCCCGGGCCTTCCTTTCCTCTGCTTCCTGGAGACACAAAGCCAAGGCTCAGCTTTCCCTGCAGTACACAGCTTTCTCCTGACAGCCTGCCTGGGACGGCCCCTCTTAACCCAAAACATCCTTGTGAAATACACCAAAGGTCGCGGTCAGAGTTCCCCTCAGATCTGTGTGAGCAGTGGAAAGAAGGGTCTTCTCCAGGAAGCAGTGCTGGGCTGTCCCCTGGGGAGGTCCTCGCCCTCCCTCCAGCCCATCTCAGGGATCCTTCTTTTCAAAGGGCCACTAGTAATCCGAAAGGATGAGTCAAGGCCTCTCCAACACAGAGGCCAGCACTGTCTCCTAGGACATGGCCCTCCCAACCTGTCCCATCCTTCAGGATTTTACCCCATCCCTCCCCAGTATTCATACATGAGTGCCATTCCTTCAAGGGAGAGGGTCCCCACATCCCTCATCACCCAGGATGTAGGTTTTCCAACAACATTAAGCCCTAGTCCACTAGGTCAGCATTTATATACCCCCATATATACATGAGTATTGGGAATATTCAGCCTATTATAGGATTAAGAGTTGATAAGAGCCTTAGGAGATCATTCAGGGGTGGGGAACTTGGGGCCTCAAGGCCATATATGGCCCCAGGTTCCCCACCCCAGGTTCAATCCCTTTCATTTTACAGATGAGGACATGGAGGCCCAGAGAGGTTTGCCCATCACATAGCTAGTAGAGCGAATCCAGAATTCAAAGTCAGGTTTTCTGGCTCCAAACCCAAAGCTCCTAGGTGAATGATCTGTCCTGAAGCTTAATCAAAGCCCTGAGACTCATACCTTGATCAACTCTCTTCTCAATTAATATTCCCTCTGGAGACAAAGGCCCTGTTTGACTAACCTTAGGCATTTACTGGGAGCACAAACCCACCCCTTTGCCTCTTCCTGCTCCTGGTAAGGTCTGGGAGGGCAAGCTTTGCCTCAATGACCCAGTGTGGCCCCATCGCCATAGTAGGGACAAGTCAAAACACACAGACCACAGACGAAGAAGACGTCAGACAGAAGCACCACCTCCACACACACGGCAATCTCCCACTCCTCAGACTCTCCTCTACCTGCCCTCCCCGCAAAAAAATCTCAATGCAGACAGCTCTTTCCTAGTGCTCGGGAGGACACCTGCAGCCCTTCATCCAATCAATCTGCACTGACTAGTTTCCCTCCAGACACCTGCTTGTCCAAAACCATACCAGGTACTCCAGGGAAACCTTGGAAATTCTCTCTGCCTCCTTCCTGACTCTTGTGTGATCAGCCCAGCCCCTCAAGTCCATGCTCTAACCCCCTCTTCCTTCAGAACATCTCCTTCCTTCTCCATCCCCACTGCCAGGCACCATGATTCAGACCCTCCCCCTCCCTCTATCTCCCTGCCTGCTGTACTAGCCTTCTAACTATCCCTCCTGCTTCTAGGTTCTATCATCTCCAGATTATCTGTGTGCTGACTCCGACATAGGTTACACTGCCTATTCCCCCCTTACACTGGGGCTCCCTGAGGCCAGGCGGTCATGTCTCCCTCATCAGGCTGGGGGTGATTAGAAGCATTCCTGGGGCGCTTGTCACCAGTGTAAGGGAAGAAATCATCCTCCCTTTACCAAGCCAAGCAGCTACAGACACTTCTCAGCCCACGTCTCCCAAGCTCTGAAGAACCTTGGAGTCTATCTTCCTCTCCTCGTGACTAATCGCTCACTGTCTAACCTTTATCGAGGAGCCCTCCCTGGTGTGGTAGGTGGGCAGACGTGGGCTGCCGCTGTGTGTGAGGGACACAGAGACGTTCTCTCCTGCCTCCTTCCCTTCCCCAAACAACTCTTTGGGATGCAGGGCAGGGTAGGAAGGCTCCAGACCAAAGTGATGAGTGCAGTGACTCCAGAAACCAGCCCTGCACATGCAATATAATGAAAATCTAACTCACCTTCCCCTCAAAACTGCTTCTCCTGCAGACTTTCAGTTTCTGCCAATGGCAGCACCACCATCCTGGTCACCAAGACTCAAGACCTCAGTCAGCCTGGACCTCTCCCTCCCTCTCAATATGGTCAAACACCAAATCCAGCCCATCTTCTTGGACGGCTCTCAGATTTAGTCCCCTCCTCTAGCCTCCACTCTAACTTACGACTTTATTCAATTCAACAAGCATTTATTGAGAGGCTGTCACGTTACTGGGCCTGTGCTGGGCACAAGGGGACACAGAGACAAAAGTGACAGTTCCTGCCCTCAAAAAGCTTATACTCTACTAGAAGGAAAAAGCATGTACATAGCTAAACCAAGCCTACAAGGTGAACTGGGATGGGGACACTAACACACTAACAAGGATGTGGGCCCCAGAGCTGAGCCTAAAAGGGAGGCTGAGGGAAGGCAGGAGAGCATTTCACACACAGGGACAGCTTGGGGAAAGGGGCGAGGTGGGAGCCAGAGAGCTGCAGACAGCAAACCTCAAGTAGGCCAGGCCACCAGAACGTAGGCTGGGAGGAGTGGTGATTTGTTAAATGCTTCACTACACATGAGGTGGTCTGCTGCAGGCCAGAGTTAGAGAGCTCAACAAACAAAAAAGCAGGCTTCCTTCAGACCCTACATCTACAATCTGCCTCTTCCTTGGACGACTCGAAGCATCCCTGGCCTTCAGCTTCCACCTCTATCTCATGACTGACTGCCCGAATCGTCTTTCTAGTGCACAGTTCTGACCACATCGCTCCTCTGGCTCCCAAACCTATCATGGCTCTGCACTAACTTCAAGAAAAACTCCAAACTCTTTAGCATTCAAGGCCCTCCATCAGCACACTACCCTCTTCCTTCCCAGGCTTAGTCACTTCACTCTCTTTCACACACTATGTTCCAATCAAACCAGCCTACCTGTTGTCCCTTAGGATACCACAGGATACCACTCCTCATCCCTACCAGCTGAAATCCTACCCATTCTGTCTATCAGGTCCAGATCATAAACTGTACAACAAAGCAGTAATCATTCAATTTGGGACTAGATGAAAAATAAAAAGGGCAATTACTGGAACAGACATGGTACATAACGTAAAACCAACACAGCACCATGGTGTTTGATAAATCCAAATATCTCTGTTACTGGGAAAAGGACTCATTATTAGACAAAAACTTCTAGGAAAACTGCATGGCAGTCTGGCAAAAATTAGGCTTAGACCTGGAAAGATTTATATGAACTGATGCTGAGTGAAATGAGCAGAACCAGGAGAACATTGTACACAGTAACAGCTACATTGTGGGATGACTAACTTTGATAGACTTGGCTCTTCTCAGCAATGCAAGGATCTAAGACAGAAGACTCACGATGGAAAATGCTAACCACATCCAAAAAAAGAACCATGGAGTCGGAATGCAGATGGAAGCATGCTATTTGCTCTCCTTTTCTTTTGTTGTTTTGTTTTATTTCTTCTTTCTCATGGTTCCTCCCATTAGTTCTAATTCTTCTTTATATCATGACTAATGTGAAAATAAGCTTAATGTGAATGTATAAGTAGAGCCTATATCAGATTGCACACATCTTGGGGAGGGGGAAGGAGAGGAGTGGAAGAAAATTTAAAACTCAAAATCTTATGAAAGTGAAAGTTGAAAACTAAAAATAAATAAATTATTTTTAAAAAATTAGATTTAGATCAAAACCTTACGCCATGCACCAAGATAAAATCCAAATGAATAAAGGACCTGGTTACATCATAAAGAAATCAGAGGACCAAGGAAGAAACTACCTTTTGAATCAATGAATGGGAGGACAGTCCATGACTAAACAAGCATTAGAGAGGATCACATATAATGAACTTCGGCTACATAAAATTTAAAAAGTTTTTACACAAACAAATCAAGTGTAACTAAAATTAGAAGGGAAACAGGTAAATGGGAAAATTCTTGGCAGCAAATTTCTCTGATGAAAGCCTCATAGTCAAGGTGTATAAGGAACTAATTCAAATTTATAAGACAAAGTGCCATTACCTAATGGCCAAAGGATATGAATAGGGAGTTTTCTTTCTTTCTTTTTTTTTTTGTAGGCAATTGGGTTTAAGTGACTTGTCCAGGGTCACACAGCTACTACGTGTCAAGTGTTTGGTCTGAGGCCGGATTTGAACTCAGGTCCTCTTGACTTCAGGGCCAGTGCTCTATCCACTGTGCCACCTAGCTGCCCCTGGGAGTTTCCAAAGAAAGAAATCCAAGCTATCAATAACCATAAGGAAAAAAAGTGTTACAAATCACTAATAACTATAAAACACAAATTAAAACACCTCTGAAATTCCACCTCGCACTCATCAAACTGGCAAAGATGACAAGAGGAAAATGACAAATGTTGAATCAGGTTTAGGAAAACAGGAACAATTTACTGTTGGTGGAGCCAACAGGTGCTCTAGCCATTCAGGAAAGCAATTTGGAATGATGCTCCCAAGCCTACTAAACTGCACATACCCTTTGACTCAGAGACACGGAGCCTATGCCATAGAGAGACCAAGCAAGGAGGAAAAGGTCTCACACGCACAAAAAGATTTAGAGTAGTTTGTTTTGTGGTAGCCAAGAATCTTGAACTAAAGAGTCATCCTCCTACTGGGCAATGGCTAAACAAAGGATGGCGTATGGATGGAATGAGATAGTACCGGGTTGTAAGAAATGACAAAACGGACAATTTCAGAGGAAACTGGAAAGACCTCTATGAACTGATGCAGAGCAAAGTGAGCAGAATTAGGAGGGCAATTTATACAATGACAAAAATGTTTTTTTAAAAAAACTCAAACTTTGAATGATGATAGAAATCTGCACAATGTAATGATAAACCATGGGTCCAGAAGACTGAAAATGAAACTCTCTCCCCCTGCCAGAGGGGTAATGGACTGAAAATGCCCAGAAAGAGATCTTCAGGTGCGGCCAATGTGGGGATTTACTGGACCATGCACAGTCGGGACGAGGCTTTTCTCTTTCCTTCTCTTCCTTTCTCTTTCTTTCTTTTCTTTCTTTCTGCTCAATGGAGGGAGGGAAGTGGGAGAAAAGATTACAAAATAATTTTACAGATTAATAGGGTAAACAAATCCTCCACCAATGCCTCAAGGCCCAGTTAAATGCCACCTCCTGCATAAAGCCTTGCCCAGCTTCCCTAGCTAGAAGCAAGGTCTCCTTACACTGAACTCTCAAGAGGACTCTGCATGTCTCAGGGCATTGACCCCGTTCTGCCTGGTTTTATAGCTACAGATGTTTTGTGTTATATCCCAAGCTACCAGACTGTGAGGTCTTTGGGTGACAGGGTGGGTAAGAGATCATTTCTTATTCATCTTCGTTTCCATCAGAGTGCCCACTTAGCACTGGAGAGAATGGAGTTCTAGTTAAAGATTTACTACTTACTAGTCATATGATCTTGACTAAATCAGGGAGTTGCAGAATCATAGGATTAGGAAAAAACCCAAGTGGTCATTGAGCACTTGAAGGTCTCCAGTTCAAGGGACCTCACTCTCTCCCAAGGCAGCCCATCCCACTTCTGGACAGCTCCAAATGGTAAGAAGTTTTTTTTTTTGTTTTTTACCTTAAGCTGAACTAGAATCTGCATCTCCAACACCTTCCCATAATGCTCTGAGTTCTGCTCTTGTCAGTCAAACAAAAAAAGTCTAACGTCGCTTCTACACAACAGTCCTTAATACCAGGACAGAATACAACTATCACTTGCTTTTCCTGGAGCTCACATCTCCACTAGTGCCACTTGTGATGGCTGCAGCTCTTTTGAAGGCTAAGTCCCTCTACCCCACATGGGCCTCAGTTTCTGCATCTACAAATTAAAGATAAGAATCCCTACCTATCTCAAAGGGCTGTTGTAAGAATCCAGTGAGATAATGTGAATTAAGGGGCTTTTTAAGTCATAAAACATTGGATAGATGTCAGGCACTGGGACTGTTGGGAGGAGCAGCAGAAATGGACACCCTACCATGTTTGCCGAAGGAATGGCGGGATGATAGAGGGGAAGGGAGGGAGGGGAAAGACTGCCAACAGAAGTTGTACTGAGACAAGAACGTCCATTTACAGTTTAAACAGCTCAGCACTGCCTCAAGCTTGCACTATGGAAAGGTCCCTAGGACTGGAGGAATGAGGTCAGAGTATAGGCCAGTATCAGGCAGCTGAGTAGAATTCTCCAGCCTCCTCTACTTGAGAGGGTCAGAGGTGGAGGTCAGGCGTGTGTGAGTGTTTAGGTATCTTGCAGCAGCCAGGAAAGGGAGTAAAAGGGAGTGCCCTGCACCTCACCTTCCTTTCCTCTTCTAGGCGAAGTCGCTCATCCTCTTTCTTCCGCTCCTCCTCCCGCTTGGATTCTAGTCGGCGCCGTTCCTCACGCTCAGCTTCTTCTGCCTAAAGAGAGAAAGTACTGTGAGCTCCAGTTTCTAATGCTCAGCCTACCACAACTAAGCCCTCATCATCCCCACCAGGACAGGGCAGGACCCAGGGCCCCTCCTCCAGATGAGGCACAACCTTGCATATTTTATATGCAACCCCAGGGAGAAGGAAGGGAGGGAAGAGTCAGGGTCAGGGAGAGAATGCCAACAGTGAGACACAAATCTGTCCAGCTCTCCCTGCGTGCGGCCTGCCTTCCTCCCACAGCCCCAGCCTGTTCACCTCTCGCTGGGCTTTCCTGGCCTGCTTCTCCTCCAGCTTCCTCTGTTTCTTGGCTCCAATTTTTCCCAATGGTTGAATTTCTGCGGGTTCATCGCCACTTTCTTCTTCCTGGACTGGAGGTGGTCAGAGGAAGACATTGGAGAACACAGCAGATCATGGACCCTGGGCCCTGCCTTCAAGGAGCCCACTCAGCAACAGATTCTGTTGTACCACGAGACACAGACATACAGATGTCCAGGTGGAGACATCAATTCAGAAGATGACTGGAATGATAAGGGCATGATGGACAAGCTTCCTGTGGTGTGCACAAGGGCCAAAAGGAGGAAGCTCCACACATGGGCTGGGCAGGAACTAAACAGGCTCTGAAGTTTCGTCCCAGTCTTCTGTCACTTTCTCGGGAAAGGACACTTTCTTGTTCTGGGTCCAAGCCCGCATCAATGTAACCTGTGACTGCTTATGAGTTTTGAGGGCTTATTCATTTTACCCACTGGGTCTCAGTTTCCTCATATGCAAATTAAGGATAAAAAGTCCTACCCATCTCACAGGTCTAGTATAAGGATTCCAGAGATCATGAGGAATAAAGGACTTGGTCAAATGTCAGGCGTGTTCTTGATCAATCAACAGGTTTTTACTGAAATCTGCACAGGGCTGTCAACTTGAGGAAGAAGGGAGAAGAGCACAAAGGCAAGGTGGGGCCAGCTTAGGAAGGCTCCGAATGCCTTGAGGTGGTAGGCACTGAACGTCATGATGGAAGGGTGTTTTAGGAAGATGAATCCAGCAACACGTAGAGGGTGGATGGCTGGCTGGGAGACTAGAGGATATGGCGTTGCCCTTTGTTACTCAGGTAAGAGGCAATGAATGCCTGCATCAAAACAAGAGCCACAGGAAGCAGAACTAGAGATCTCTGAGGAAGCCTAAAGGGGATCAAAGACTGAACTGGTCACCACATCCCCTGGCCTGAACTATCATTTATATCCTTCCAAAGCATCTTTCTGTCTCTACTCTTACCTTCAGCAATACAGGCTTCACATGTATGCCCAAGTAATCCTCCTAAGGGGTGGCAAGGTGGCACAGCAAATAGGGCACCAGGTCTGGAGTAGGGAAGATCTAAGGTCAAATCTGGATTCAAATGCTTACTAGCTGTGTGATCCTGGGCAAGTCACAACCCCTATTTGCCTCGGTTCCTCATCTGTAAAATGGGGACACACTGGAGAAGGAAATGGCAAACCACTCCAGTGCCTTTGCCAAAAAAAAAAAAAACAAAACAAAACAAAACAAAACCAATAAAAATCTTCAGTGCCTCCCCACTGTCTCCCAAGTGGTGCCAATCTAGCAGCCCAGACTTATCTCCCACTACTCCTTTTCCCATACTCCACAGTCTCTCCAGACTGGACTGCTATTCCTCCAGTTCTTGTCCTGGCCCGTCCTGCCTCTCTGACAGCTACTCCATGATTCTGGCTCTTGGCCTGGCCACCCAGCCCCCATCAGCCACCTTTGGGGTGAAGGGATATAAAAGTCAATAGATGATTGAAGGATTCCCAAACATCTTCTGGGTTAAATCGCTCTCTCTCTCTGCTTCCCAGTTCCTTCTCCTCCTGCCCCTGACAGATGTCTACCTTCTGAGTTCCAGGCCCCATCTCTTGTCCCCAGTTAGCTGTCACCTGAAACACCTGAACAGCCCAAGGAAGCTGTTCTGCTCTAGTCTGACCGGCCTTCCATGAAATGGCTGAGAGGTCCCACCCTAACAACCAGGGCCTTTTCCAGAGCCCTAGGCGGGGAGGGGGCACTGCCAGTCTCGTAGGAATGGGACACAGAGCAGAGGGTTCTGGTAGGATGTGGCTGAGGAGGCAGCACCATTGATGAACAGTTTCTTTTCTTGGCTAAGAGTTGCAACAAAGGTGGTGAGTCTGGCGATTGGCCCCACCCCAATCCGGCATCCCTCTCTTGACACTGTTCCCCAGCTCAGAACCTTGATCACACTGACAGCTCTGGGTCCCCAGCCGCCCCTTCCCATCCTGGCCTCCCACTGTTCCCTATATATTATTCCCTTAGCTCCTCTGCTATTAGTTTCTGTTCCAGGAGGGTCATTCTGCTCCCCTCTCCAGGCGGCTCCCCAATCACCCAATCTCCCTCTGAGCCCCCTCTCCTCCAGGAAGCCTTTGTGTGACAGACCTCACACAGGGGTGGGTCCCTTCTGGCCTCAGAGATGGGCTCCACGGTGAGTCAGTCAGTCAACAAACACTCACTGAGAGCCTCCCGCGTGCCAGGCACTGTGCTTAGCACGGGATGAAAAGAAAGAGACAAGAGGCAGAGCACTGGTACATCCATCACCTTCTATCACTTCCTCATCCTCTTCCTCAGCGCGCTGGGCCCGGCGCTGGGCCTGGAGCCTGCTCCCCAAGTCTCGCCGGCGCCGGACCCTCCCTTCAGCCCTCTCGTTTTCATGTCCAAGAAGCTGGGGCCTTGGTCCTCCAACAGCCGCCGCCTCCACATTGCGCTGATGCTCCTGATCTGCTGTGGAAAGAAGAGGAGAGAAGGCCTCGTGATTAGGGATCTCAGTGTACCCTCGCTGATCCCAGCAGCCCTGCAGCAGCTTCAGGGGGAAGTCCAGCCCACAGAAGGGCCCAGAGCCGCAGTGGCCAGCCCCCTCCCCCCCCACCCACACACACCTGGGATCTTTACTCTCACAACATCTCAACACCTCCAGCCCCTAAAGGCCCAACAGCTCCTCAGCAGCCACAGAATCAACTCTGCACTCCAGATTCTGCCAGTCAGGGCCCATTTCGATCTGGAGCCACCCTTCCTTTGGGGCCTCAGCTCCCAGCTCCCCTCTGCCAGGACCATCTCCTCCTGTTACCCCAGCATATGCTTCCCCACACTGATCCCCTCACACCAGGAATGGCACTCCTTTTTTGGCACGATTCTTCACAAAGGCCTACGTGATGCCCTCCCTCCTCCAATATTTTCACCCTACTGATCCAGCTCCACATGGGTTTTTCCCCCGCTGTGAGCTCCTAGGGTACCTCTGTTCTAAGCTACCAAGTCAAGGAATATGGCCTCTGATTGTTTTCTTGGCATTTTTTTTGTTTTACTTTTGTTTTTGTTTTTGCTAGGCAATGGGGTTAAGTGATTTGCCCAGGTCACACAGCCAGTAAGTGTCAAGTGTCTGAGGCCGCATATGAACTCAGGTCCTCCCAACTCCAGGGCCAGCGTTCTATCCACTGCACCACCTAGCTGCCCCTTCTTGGCATTTTAGATGCATGAGACTCACCCCTCTCGACCAATAAGTCTCCACTGGCCCCTGGCATCATCTGGAGGAGATGTGAGATCAACCAAAAGTAAAGCAGAAACACAGATGGGCCTGTGTCCCATACTCCCAGACACAGCCCACATTTAGGGCTGATCTCCAAGACAGCCACACTTGCCCCTTCCTCACTACAGCCCCATGCAGGGGCTATGCAAGTTCCACAAGGTATGGGCCCCTCACCATCTGACTGGGTAACACAGTTGCCTGCCCCTTAGGGCAGGCCCTCACTGTCTCCATGGGAGACCACTGAACCATGGGAATATCCTCCTGATCAGTCTCCATTTCTCAGCTTCCTCTCCTCTCCAATCTACCTTTCCCACAATTGCTCAGGTCTGCCCACATCACTCCCTGACTCAAACTCCAGGGTTCTCGAGTACCTCTGGGAACAAACAGCAACTCTTGGGTTGGCATTTCAAGTCTTTCACAAGCGGGCTCCTTTCCACCTGCCAGTCTCCACTTTACATTACGCCCCTTCTTGCTGCTCCTCACAATCACACAAATCCAACTCAAATATCCAAACGTTAATGGGAAATTAAGACACAGTACTATCAATTACCGTGAACCACGTAAAGAAAGAGGAATGGATGGATTTATCCTGACAACTTTCTGCTGAGTTGAAATCAGAGACAATTCATTTTTGTCCTTATTAAGTGCGGTAACTCTATGCCCTGAGAAACTGGAGTCCTGCTCAAAAGTTATACCCTATTGTTTGATTACCATATTGTATATCTTTCAATAAGAAAATATTATTTAAAAAAAAGCAATTCACTTGCTAGCAATATTGATCAAGTTTGGAGAACAATAAATTACTAACAAACAATTGTCAGAAGCTGGCTCTGCCCAATCTCCAAGGTATTCACAGTTTTTCAAAAATGATGATGTATATTCACACTGCTCTCAAGAGTAAAAAGATTTTTTTTTGCATTGTTCATAAAGTAAATAAAAACAGTTGATTTCATCTTTATCTCATCCATTTTAAATTTCTACTTTCACATAATTTTTACAACATGTAAAAATGTATTAGAATAATAGCTGAGCTATGTAATTTATAAATATTCAGATGCTGGCAGCGCATGCTCAAAATTTTACAGTGACAAGAGCGCCTGATCAAAACAGTTTGGGGATCACTGCTCTAGGCCATTCACTCCCTGAAGTCAGGGCCTGGACCTGTTCTTCTTGTCTCCCCCAGACTGTAGGCTTCCAGAAGCTAGGTCCTACATCTGCTCTTCTTTTGACAACCCTGACCCCACGCCCCCCAAGGCCTGCAGATGGTGTTACTGACTACTTCCTCTACCTCACACATGGGCTGCTTGGAACCTCAGGCTTCACAAGGAACTTAGAGAGATCTGGTCTCCATCTCAGAAGAGGATAGTCAAATCAACCCAGCAAGCCCAACTAGATAACAGATAACAGTGGCTAACACAAAGCAGGGTGGAGTCTTCTAGCTTTAGGCAGGGTGCAAGGGGCCATTCCTAGTCTATCACATGCCCTGGCAAAATGGCGTGTGCTCAGGGAGGTCTCCCATGTGTCTGGGCCTGTCTCCTGGGTAGGAAGGAAAAGGGGCTGGGGGGCACATGCTATGGAGTGGGTAGAAGTGTTGGGCTGGAGCTGCTATAGGCACAGAAGGCTGTGGTGAGGCCAGACTTAGGAAAGAGGGCCAAACCTGGATGTCTAAGAAGCCCAATCCTGAAACAGGCTTTGGTGGAGAAAAGGAAAAGAATAAAGAGGGGGCCTGGCTGCCCCTACTCAGGTGGTACCAGGAGGAACTGTTATGTAAATGTGAGATTCGAATGAAGCCTTGCAGAGTGATTGCCGCCCACCTCCTACCACTCTGCCTTTACCCACCTCTCTACCTCCTTCAGTTCCTAGCTATCCCCAAGGCCCAAAATGAAAGCAGCAAAATACACTGATTGCTCTGCCAACAGCCACCTGGAGGTGTTTGCGGGGAGGCAGGGGAAGAGGGTAGGTCTGAATCACAAAGGATGAGGAGTCCCAGGGAGGGAGTGAGAAAGGAATGATCCTTGGAATGCTGGCCAATGACAGTTGTCTAAGGGAGCCCCAATAAGTCAGGAGCACACACCTGCATGAGAATGTGAGAGCTCAGAATGGGGACATGGAAGTTCCAGGGAGTTCGTATGTACGTAAAAAGGGGCTGGGAGAGGGAACTCCTGTGTATCTGGAAGGAATCTGTGTCTGTATGACCCAAAATGGTCATTTGTGTCTGTGTAAGGGAGGGAGGAAATGAGAAAGAGAGAATAAGTGTGCAGGGGTGCATGGGAAGGAAAAGATACATCCATGTATGTAAGAGGGAAGGAATAATGGTTCAATGATTCTCATATGTATATCATGTATAAATCAGGGAATGGAAATTTGTGTGTATTATATATATGTGTATGTGTGTATGCATGTATGTATGTATGTGGAAGGGAAACCAAATGTAAAGAAAGGAATTCGAATATATGTGTGAGAAAGGCAGGTCTAGTCTGGTCCTCATTAGCCAGAACACTCCTATACTCTGGACACGGGGTAACGATGTGAATGTCTTTAGGCTGTGGTTCTCTGTGGGGAGAGGGAAGGGAAACTCCTGCTGAGAGGTTTCACCCTGATGACAGAGTCTGTGAGAAAAACATGGGGATGATAATAACAATCATCACTGCTTATGTGTTCACAAGGATTGAGGATTTCCAAAAGTGCTTTATATACATTATCACATTTAACCCATTAAGAAACAGGCATTAAAGAACACAGGGAGGAGACACAGAGTGCCAATTTTTGTATAGTTCTTGCCCTCATGAAATTTACAATCTTGTAAGGGGGATAAGACACAAACACAGGTAACTAAAATACACAGTGTTACATGGTAAGTGCATTAGTAACATATGTCCTGTGGGAAGGAGGGGGGAAGTTGCTGCTGATTAGAGGATCACGAAGGTGTTGAGCTGGGCTTTAAAGGAAATACAGCGCAACAAGAAAAGATGGGAAGGAGAGTGTTCCAGGCATGTGGAACAAGCCTAAGAGTGAAATGGCTTTACTGAAGCAGAGCTGAGCAGTTTGGTTTTGAGAAAAGGGAATAACAGACCAAAGCTGGAAAGAAAGATTAACACCAGGTTGTGACGGGCCTTGAATGCTACAGCCAGAAGAGCTTGGATTTTTCCTAGGGCCTTCACTGGAACCACGGGTGGAAGGACATATGGAAGGAATATGAAGGCTGGATTGTTGACAGGCAGACCTGGAAAGAGGCTGAACTAGAGTGGACTAAAGCTAAGAGATTTCGCAGCCTCGGTCAGTGGGAGAAGGTATATTTAAAGAAAAGTTTATGAGAAGGGGAGACACGCTGAGTAGAGATGCCACAGAGAAAAACAGTGGGGTCAAAAGCAAGAGCAGGTTTGGGGGGAAGATGAGGTTGATGGATAGAGTTTGGGAGGCCAGTGGGGTTGACAGGTGATGTGCTAAAAGCAGTTTGGGATTACACGGAAAGATGTCGGTAGACGGAGGAAGGATTGGAGACCTACGACCCCTTACGGGGTCCTCAGTTTCCTGCTCAATAAAATGGGGAGATGGGTGTGTGGCAGCCTCGTGAAGCAGGTGTGGGTGTATGAGGTAAGGCAAGAGAGTTGGGAAATAGCTTGTATGTACTTAACTCTGATTTCTCGACCACCCACAGGGCCCCCTGCGGCACCCCTACCCTGAGACAGACAGGTGGTAGTGCTGAACTAGGCCAAGATCACCCGAGGCCCCAAGTGCAGAGTACCTGGAGAGACCAGAGCGGCTCTCAATCAATCAGCAGGCGGAAAAGGCCAATGGGCGGGGAGTGCTCTTGGCCCCACTACATGCCGGGAGTTGTAGTTTCTGTTTCGCCAGGGCCGGAAACACGTCACAGCTACGCGCTAGGAAACCTCTGCGGCCTGAGAGGGCCAGCGAGCCCAAGAAGGAGACGAGTTGAGGGGAAGTCCCCCAGCCCCAGGGCGCTGGCGGTTTCTCCTACCTGCTGCCGCCTGTTCCCGGACGCGGGTCACAAAAATGATGAGAGCAACCAGCAGCACCGCTGCCACTACGTAGAGGACCGGATCCATCATCCCTCCTCCTTCCCGGCAGCGCCCGCGATGGGGGCGTGGCCCACTAAACCTACCAGGGCTCCGCCCCCACTCCCTGATAGGCCCTCTTTAGACAGTCCCTTATAGGTTATCACACATTACTCACTTTACCAAACTGGGGGAGGCGGCCCTTTCAAGCAGACCCCGCCCACTAGGTCCTGATAAGCCCGCCTACCGATGCCTGATAGGTTCTATCCCCTGACAATTTCCGTCCATCACAGAGTAGAGGCTCCGCCCCCACGCTGATTGACATTCCATTTCTCCTCAGCCCTTTGCAGAACCTCTTCCCTTCCAAGACCTGTACTCTAACCTTCTGTCTTATCATCCTCCATGCCCTTGGAGGAGATCCCTGGGGTCCCTGGGATTGGGATCCCTGCTCCTGGTTTTAGCCAAGCCAGCTCCACGGTCTCCTTGCATAGATCCCCAGTTTCCCCACCCCCCCATTCTGTCACGCCCTTCCTGATGTCTAACCTCAGTCCTTTCTGCTGCAGGGCTTGTGACCCCTATGCTGGGTTCAGGTCTCTCTCCAAGGCAAAGGCTCCTTCTTCTGGGACCTCCCCCGTGTGGTTGTTGAAGGAGAAAGATTGGGTTACTGGCAGGGGAAACCTGAGGCTTGGCCCTGAAATCCCAAGGGTAGGAGGCCATTAAACAGAATCTCACAGCTGGAGGGGACATCAGAGGTCTCGTCTAACCTGTAGCTGATCCTCGGCAAAGGGTCATTCAGTCCTTGCTTGATGTCCTTCCCATTTTAGGATAGCTATTAGGAAAATAAAATTAAGAATTTTAAATAATTTTTAAAAGAGTTAAAAGCAAAAAAAAATAGCAAAAATAGCAAAAGTTCTTCTATCACAACTGAGTTCAAATCTATCTTTCTTATATAATTATTCTGCGAGACCATGATGACACAAACCATCCTTGTGACCCTGGGCAAAACACAGCCTCTCAGTGCTCTAGGCAAGTTGCAGTTGCAGAGAAGGTGCCAACCTGTATTGGCAGAGTCCCCTCACCCAGAAGTTCTGTATACCAATAAAACCACAGGTCTGGCCTTTAACTCTACATTTAAGAATAACAGATAACAGGACAGCTAGGTGGAGCAGTGGATAGAGCACAGGCACTAGAGTCAGGAGGACCTGAGTTCAAATCCAGACACATAACACTCACTAGCTGTGTAACTCTGGGCAAGTCACTTAACCCCAATTGTCTCACATGAAAAAAAAAAGAATAACAGGTAACATTAATATTTCACTTTAAGGTTTGCAATACCCTCTACAGATTATTTCATTTGATCTTCACTACAATCCTGGGAGGTAGATGCTATTATCACCCCCGTTTTATAGATGAGTAAACTGAGGCAAAGAAGTTAAGTGACTTGCCCAGGATCACACAGCTAATGTCTGAGGCTGTATTTAAACTCAGGCCAACACTCTATCACCTGTGACACTTAGCTGACCAATCCGTTTTTCTAGTGACCAGGGGTGAAGAACCTGCATCTAATCCGAACAAATTGGCTTTTTTGCTATTCCTGAGATTGGACCTTAGACTTGAAATTCCTTCTCCTTCCCTTTAAGCCTCTGCTGACCCTCATGGTTGGAATGCATTCTGTCCTCACTTCTGTCTTACAGAATTCCTAGCTTCTTTAACAGTTTAGCTAAAACACCTCCTACAAGAGGCACCCCAAGTGCTTTCTCCGTTTTTGCTTTCTTGGGGTAGGGAGAGAAGGCTTCAAGTCTACAGAAAGATGCAGCAGTAATGTCAATCTCAAATAGAAACTGAGGCCATTAAACAGTATGTAAAGGTCCCTCTGAGCTGCATATTGACCTATAAAGCAACATGTGTTTATTTCTTTTTTTATTAATATATCAACACATTAAAATTAGAGAGGAGCTACATTTTAATCTTGTTCTGTAGCTATCACAAATGTTGGGGGCCTGCTGTGTCTTTGACACCTCTGGTCTGGAAGACTCTGTAGCACTCCATAGTTCACAAAATATAGTCCATGGATCCCTAGGGGTCTTAGAAACTATTTCATGAGGTCTGTGAAGTCAAAACTATTTTCATAATAATACTAAAATATTATTTTCCTACTAAAATATTCATTTTTCCAACTACTTATCTGCATAAGCCAATATTTTCTTCATATTTGTTAATCAAAACTATATATCCCAAAAGATGGAATGTAGAAGCAGATATGGCAATCCACCTGTCTTCTGTTAAGCCAAACATTAAAGAAATTTGTAAAAATTATGTAAAACAACGCCACTCATAATTTTTTGTTCAACAAGTTATTTTTCATTTAAAAATGGTATCGGTGTTAAGATGTAGTAAGTTCATTAAATAACTATTTAAAATTTTAATGTTTTAATATCTATTATGACATACATTGATAGATACAATGTTCAGAAATAAAACTTCTCTGGGACCCTCAATAATTTTTAACAGCATAAAGGGGTTCTGAGGCCAAAAAGTTTGTGACCTATGTTCTCTAGGTTGTCTGTGAATGTGTGCACCATACGAGAGGAAAAGGGAGTTGTTTTGACTTCATGAACTGAGTGTAAATCATTTTTTGTTTTGTATTTTAGGTCAAGTTAAATAAATATATCATGTGTTCCATGTTATAGTCTAAGTCCTAGCAAAGGAGTTGAGGAAGGCCCTTTACCTTTTCCATTGACTAATACATGAGCCAGATTCTGAGGTGCCTAGAGGAAATCCTCCATGGGGATATGGGTTAGAGGGATAATAGTTGTTGAAATATTAAACTAAAAGGTAAATTTAGAGCCTTTGGCTCTTGACCACAGACTATCATTACAAGGAAATAAAATCTGCCTCTCTGTAATTTCTACTGATCGTCTTTATTTGTACCCTCTGAGGCCAAGCAAAACAAGTCTTTTCCCAGTGACAGCCATTTAAAAATTTGAAGACAGACCATGGATTCCACCCACCCAAAGACATCTCTTTTCCAGACTAAACACTCCCAGGTTCTTCAACAGATCCTTTGACATCTGATTGCCTTCCTCTGATTATTCTCTAGCTTATCAACATTCTTCCTAAAATACAGCATCCAGAATTGAAGCAATATCCTAAATTGACGAGGGCACTATCATTTCAGTGCTTCTCTTGGTGAAATTTAAAACTGGATTAGCTTTTTGGCTACCATGTCATTCATAGAGAACTTGCCATCTACCCCAAGCTCTTTTTTTCAGAGAAATGTAGCTACATCTTCCACTCCCACAAATGAAATTAATTCTCAGGGTCAGTTAGCAATAAGCATTTATTAGGTACCTACATAGTTATCAACACCAGAAATACAAAGAAGGGCAAAAACAGTATCTGCCCTCGAGGAGCTAATGAGGAGGACAACATGAAAATAACCGTATAAATGAGATATATACAAGATAAATTGGAGATCCATCAATTAATATTTATTAAGCACCTACTATGTGCCAGGCACTATGCTGAGCACAGAAAAAGAAGCAAAAGATGGTATAGTCCCCGCCCTCAAGGAGGTTACAATCCAACGAGGGAGACAACATACAAACTATATACAGGATAAATGGAAAATAAATAAAATAAATTTTAAAAAAGGAAGGCCCTGGAATTAAGAGGGGCTGGGGAAGGTAGGTGGGATTTTAGTTGGGACTTAATAGAAACCAAAAAAACAAGAGATTAATAATAAAGTATTAATAAAGATCGGGCAAGGTTTCTTGCAGGTGGGATTTTAGCTGGGACAAGAAAGAAGTCAAGGAAGTCGAAATGGTAAGGAGGGAAAGTGTTCCAGGTAACTCTCAGAAGCAGGATTCAAATCAAGGTCTTGTCATTCGGAGAGCAGGATTCTGTCCCTTCCACGGCAGGGACCTTTCTCTTTTGTGACCAGACCCAAGTTTTATCTGGTGTGCGGGAGGATAAACCAGGCACGCTTCCTGGAAGAAGAGGTGGCCAAGCTTAGCCATGCTCAAAGAGGGTTGAGTAGGGAGTAGAGTTACCGCCCTCGCTGAGTCCCAGGGCATAGCGCAGGGAAGCGGCCACAGGAACAGGAAAGCATCGGTGAACACCGCCCTAAGATTTCAATGCCTACAAACTGGAAGTCATGTGGTGAGCCTTCCGGCTGGTCATCACGTGAGGGGAAGAAGGGAACACCTTCGCCCCAGCTCTTGGGCTTCGGGCTTCGTGGACGGCTGAGAACGTTTCCGCATCGCGGTGATTGGTCCATCAGTACGTCCTTAATCTCCGGTTCCGAGGGAGAGGGGCTTGTGGAAACGGATGGTCGTGATTGGGTCCCGTTAGGCCCGCCCCCCCGTCCGTCATCGCTTACTTCCTCCCCATTGGTCCAAATCATACTACTCGAGGATTGGAGGAAGACAGCCGGGCCAGGTTGAAGACCAGATGGCGGCGTCGCTAACGGGAAAGAAAGTTGTGTTCGTCACTGGAAATGCTAAGAAGCTAGAGGAGGTGATGGGCCCGGGGGAAAGGGAGAGAGGATGCGGGGACTCCGCCTCCTCCATCACTTCGAGTGACGTCAGAGTGCGGCTGGGTGGGGGTCGGGACCCTGGGGTCCACGCGCGCATGCGGTGATTGACGGGGAGGGTCGCCGCGCGAGCCAGGCCCCGCCCCACGCCTCGCCTTTTCACTCTTTGGCCCCGCCCCCTGGTCAGGAGTCCCGCCCACTCCCTGAGACCCGCCCTCATTCCCCTTCCTGTCTCTTATAGTGGGGAGCGCTGTGGTTATGTGACCCGGGAATGGCACAAGAACACAGGGTGCCGGGGTGGCTTCGGAATAGAGAACGCCCACCTTCAGATCCTGCCTCTGACACTTCCTGGCAGGGTGACCCCGGGCAGGTCTCTGAGCCTCAGGATCCTCATCTGAGAAATGGGCGCACTGGACTAAATGACGTCCAAGGTTCCTTTAGGTTCAAAAAAGTCTATGATCTTGTGGACCCAGCTTGGAATCTAAGGCCTCCAGCTCAAAACCTGGCCTCGCCGCCCCGTTCCAGGTCATGGATCAGTTAGCTCGCCTTTAAGCAGTCAGTATGTGCT